GAGGGAGAGTCCCCCTCCCTACAGGAAGCCACGACCACATGTCACGGCAGGGAAAATAGCTCCGGATCCTGTTCGTCACCCGATCCGGCGTTCGCGAACGGAAGCAAAATTTTGCGAATGGTGCTGTTCGTGACCCGAATTGTTCGTGAACAGAAGCGTTCGTGACCCGAGGTACCACTGTATACTTACCTAATGCAAACATTATTCTAGTACATATATAGTTCTAACACATTTATATGACTATCATTTTTTAATTTTTTTTTAACCAACTGTATTTTGTATACAGGGGAACTATGTATTTTTAAAAATACTGATACTGAAATACATGTATGATAGTATTAAAATAAGGCATATTCCAGTACATAGTGATAAAAAAAAAAAACCAAGAAGATCCTGCATTTCCAAGCTTTACAGGCAATGATAGCACTCTTTCCTTCTCCAAATCTACTGATTACTGTAAAACACTTCACAAGAAATTTTAAAATACCATTGCAGTAATTGTGCAAAAAGGCTTATATATTAAAGCAACACTTAGTGCAAAAATAACATTAAAATTATATATTTTTATATAATTATAATTATAATCCTTCTGGCAAGTTGTCTAGTTCCCCCTCCCTGCCCCTTCGTTACATTAAAGCCCCTCATGTGCTGGAACATGGAGGCTTGTAAATAGAGAAGAATTAGTCTACCTTTTGCCCAAATATAAAAAGCCCATTGCTATACACCACTTTGAGCTGAACAACAATGCTTAGGTAGCAAGGCTGTGGTTGTTATGGTCCATCAAGATAACCCCAATTCCTGGTGATTACAAGGACAAGTCCTTATAGTTTTCTTGCCAACGTTTTTGGACATGGCTTGCGAATACCTTCTTCCCAGGGCTGAGAGAGGGTGGCTGGCCTAAGATCAGGCAGATACCTTCTGTAGCCAAGGCTAGACTAGAACTCAGTCTCCTGGCATCTAATCCAGTGCCTTAACTACTGGACCAAACTAACTCTCATAGGTAACAGTAGGAGCTGCCAATCTGGAGATATTAGCCTGCTTCCGTGTTCTTGCTAATCTCTGAATCCAGTAGTTACTCTACAGTACATAGCTGTGACTTAGTTTTCTTACAGGGCTGGGAACTCCAAACTACTTCCCACATTGTGGCCTTCCTATGCATAAATCACTTCCACATAGAAAGAAGCTCAAGGCCACCCTAAGATTTTTGTAGCTCACTGAGAAAAATAACCAGATGACACCACCATCGTCTGCAACAAACCATGACATCAAGCTGGTGACACGGCAACGGTGATGTCATCACATGAATGCTGCCCTTACATACTTTCATCCTGATGCCAGGCACAAATACAAAAGTTGTGGTGTTTACACTATGACATCCTGCACATGTCATCATTTGCTTTCCTGGCCTGCCACACATTCAGTCAATGGTGCCTGTCCCAATTCTTTGTACAAAGACAAAGGGAATAGGTAGTTGACTCTTATTTATTTATTAAATTTATATACTGCCCATCTCCTCAATACTGACAGCAGTACTCTAAACACTTCTCTGTTCAGTGTTTGACAACTTTAAGATGTGTGGACTTCAATTCCCAGAATGCCCTGTTATCGTCATGCTGGCTGGGGAATTCTGGGAGTTGAAGTCTGCACATCTTAAAGTTGCCAAGTTTGAAAAACACTGGTTTGGAGGGTGAAAGCTAAGCTGTGTAGCACATGCAGCTTTGCTCTCCCAAACATCTCAGAGGCACCATTGTAATGCCCTCTATGTCAGTTTTGGGGGTCTATGTCAGTCTTCAGCTCTGCCTAATGTTAGGGATAACCCTGGAAAAGCTTTCCCCCATCTATAGGTCAGCACATTAACAGGCTTATATATTTCCTTCTGTGTAAATGAGACAAATGCACACATCTTGTCAATGACACTTGATGATTGACACACAGTGTTTACCCTTCTTACAAGGAAGTGGTTTTGGCATGAATGAGTAGTTGGTTCTACTGCTTAGTAAGTGAGACACAGCCTTCTGACAGTGTGTTGTTCTGCTGCATGGCCCAGGGAAACATGAAGGGAGGTGTGGGAGAGTACGTTTTGTAGTCTTAAACTTCCCAATGTTTAGCTTGAAGAGCATTTTTACCTATGCCTTAAAATTGCATATAAAGTCCATGACTGAAGAGACTGCATTGATTAATAATGAACCTGACCCAGATAATGTACTACCTGGTATTCTAATGAAAGGGAACCTTATGAAGGAGGAAGAGAGGAGGAAGACATGTTTTTGAATATATCAACATCAAGGCTGGTTGTAACAATCTGCTCCTTAATTTTCCTTCAATTGCATCCATCATAAAGTTGCCCAGAGACTTCACAAGCACTTGTAACTTGAAGTACTTGTACAGATGGATGAGAAGAAATCAACAGGAAAGTGTGTGGATGAAGAAAAGCCTTGACCTGTTTTCAGGAAAAATTCTGAAAGGAAAAATAAGGTATAAGGCTTGGGAACCCCTTGGGTCTGTAGCCATGAATAAAGCTTTTGGGGGAGAATGCTAAAACAGAAAGGGGAAGATTATTTGGTCTTTTTAAAGCAGAAGGGCAATTAAAACATTCATTCACCCTTTAATAATTCCCAGTCCTTCTGCCAATCCAGTCCTGGTTGCACCCAGTTTTGGAGCGAGCCATCAATATTAGGACTAGCAGTGGTCATCCAGATTTTGGGAGCCCAAAACAAAACCTAACTAAACTTGATGTGGACCTTGAATTAACCAAAATTATACATCCCTGGTTTAGCAGTATATTTAATTATATTACATATGCAACATCTAGCCTACATATTCATTCTTAAAAAGAAACCCAAACCTGGGCACTATTCTTTTAGTTTACTATAGCTTAAACGGTGATAGTAAAACTTCATACAGCCCTACCAAATCTGCCAAACAACTAAAATCGCAGGGGTACAGGGCATTAAGAAGAAAACAAATCAAAGGCCCTCCATCCACTGCAGCTTAGTCAGCAAGCATGGTTAAAACAAACCACAGATTAGTGTGATCTGTAAATTTAACAAGTGTCGCCCTGTCTTACCTAACCTCAGAAGGTTGTTGCATGGATAAAAGTTTGGGAATGTATGTTGTCTTTTAAAGGGGGAGCAATAAAAATGCAATGAAATGAATCTCGGAAGAGAACAATGGAACATAGCCCTTTCTCCCCGGTGCACTCGTCGTTCACATTTTTAAAACTTTCCCTTCAAACCTATTCCTTCTCTCGCCTGCAGCCTGAACCAGCACGGCAAGCAGGTCCGCTCCGCCTAGGCGCGCGGCTGTTTCCGACGGCTCGTCTTTGATGGATTACGCGCCATCGAGGCGGTGTGGACTGCTAGCGGTGGACCACACAGATACCCCTCCTCCAGGACGGCCGGTCCCCAGTGCGCCCATCGCCGCTGGGATCGGAGCGTCTGTATCGCTTACTTTGAAGCCACGGGGTTGCAACGGCGCTACTGGCCAGCAGGCGGAGACAGGACGCTGGCTGGGGAGTCTAGCGGAGGGGAGCGGAGCGCCGGAGCGCAGCAGCAAACGGGAGGCAGCAATGAAGAGAAGGGGCGAGCAAAGACGGCACGGAGGCGAGGCTGATCTCTGCTAGTGGGACGGGAGGGGAAGTGCGGAGGGAGAGCGCGGTCTCTGCACGGGCCTGTCGGCGTCAACTCCCAGCCGCCTTCTGCAGACGCCGCTTCCCACCCTCCCTCTGGCAGATCCCAAGGCGCCCCTGGCCCTTGCGCCCACCGGCTCCATGGCTGCTCCGGCTTCGCGGACCTTCTGGCTCACCGTCGGGACGCTCCTGTTGCTCCTGGCTGCCCTGCTCCACTCTGCCTCCCCAGGTACAGTCCCGCGGTTCGTCCTCTCACGGCGTGCCTGAGGGCGCCCTTGTGGAGAGGGAGGGGACTCAGGGGCCCCGTAAACTTCTGCCCTTGGGGTAGCTTTGCAAAAGGGGTGGGGGCGTTTCTCTCCCTCTCCCTCTCCCTCTCTCTTTGCGGTTAAATTCCTCAGCATGGCACCCTTGGATATGTGGGGCTACAATTCCAGTGCTCCCCATCTGGCTATGCTGGCAAGGGAAGATGGGAATCATAAATCTGTGCATCTGGAGAGCCCTCGTTCAAGAAAGTCGCAGTGCCAGCCACTTCCATCATAGGAATACCTTGCCTGAGAAATGCCGCGCTTTGCTTCCCTCTTCGTATCGCCTCGCTTGCCCTGCCACTCGCTTGTCTCCATCTGCTTTGGGGTCCGTCATTCTTACCCAGTTGGGCTTCCTGGCAGGGCAAAATTTTGCTAGTCTGGACTTTTCTGCATCATATAGACGAACGTGCAAAAATGATTGGCCAGCAGTTTCTTCTTTTTCTTTTAAAGGCGGATTTATAGAGTATGGCTCTCCACAGTTGTTTTAAAAAACCTCATGGGAGTGCAATGGAGCAAATTTTTATTTGTGTTTTTAGGATCACAACCTAATATGCACACACACACACACACACCCCTCTCTCACTTTTCCAAACCTCAGATCTGTAATCCTTCCATTGTTTTGGTTGTATGGTCCCAAATAGCCGCAAAACCTGAACCGGTTGTTCCTAAACATAAAGCAATTGCAAAATGCATCTTTCCAAGTAACTCAGGGAAGTTTCTCAGTTGATTACGATGCAAAGGCTGCAGTTCAGGGGTAGAACTCCTACTGAATGCTGCAGGGCAGATTTGCAGTAATTGTGCAAGGCTAACTCCAGAATAGAAATGGTTAGTGATCGGAAATAAGATTTGGAGGGAAGAAAATGAAACTATGAGGAAATATTGAGGGAGAACTTGCCACGCGTGCTGTTGGAGAGGATTCCCAGAATTTTTTTTTTTTTCCTGCTCACAATGTTCCCTCCTTCCCACTGGTTTTTGGGTGGGTTTTTTTTTTTTTTTTTTCCTGCTCACAATGTTCCCTCCTTCCCACTGGTTTTTGGGTGGGTTTTTTTTTTTTTTTGTCCTCTTGATCTATGTACTTTGCATGTAGTTTTCTCTTGCAGGAATGGCAGAAATTGCAGTAGCTGTATATGCCCGTACAAGTTGAGCTGAGAGTAAAGTGCAGGAATTCTTAGTGCATATTTGCCCACAGGGCCAGTTCCTTGCCATGATATAATGATATGATTGTTAAGGTAGGGACCAAATTCTAAGCAAGGCAGAGTGCTTGGAAGCAAATTCCTTTGAAATCAAGGAAACGTCAGCTTGAGAAAATACAGTAAATGTGAGTTCATGATGTCAGGTTAGAAAGATTAAAAACAAAAACAAATGCATCTTATTGATAGGCTTCTCCTCTCCTGGGTTTCGAATATCAACTATTTCGGGGTATTAAAATGGCAGAAAAATGCACTGTGAAATATCTTTCATCAGGCGTGATTTGTGTCAATAGTTGTTTCCAGCAAGATGCCTTAGATCAGAAATGTAGGTGTGGCAACTCCTGAACAGTTCCCACTGCATTTTTCTGCTCTTCTGTTTCTTTTGGAAAAAGTATTGCAGGACAGTGGCTTCCAAGGAGTGGCTGCTAGAACACCCTAATATAATACGGAATATCCTGTCCAGAGACTCTACAGCTGAAACACCTGCAACTCACTCCCAGGTCATTTCTTTGTTCTCCGAGCAGTTCCTGATGCTTTTCTGGAATCAGAGTTGTTTACGGTGGCTTGGGAGCTCCTGTTTGCCCTGTAATGTATAAATCAGAGAGATGGGTTGTTTTTGTCTTTGTCCAAAGTCTTGTGCTGAACCTCAGCTTCATCCCATTAATTCAGGATTTGCAGCAATTGGATGCACGGATCAAAGAATACTCTGGGGAAAACCAATTGGATGAGCAGGGAGAAAAGTTTTGTCTTTGCTTTTAGATGGAAACAGTCACAGGATTTTGAAGGCTGAGCAATCTTCCCTGTATAAAATAGTCGTTGGTTCTATTCTATTCAGTTCCAAGTCAGTTCCAAAGGAACCTGTTACTCTGATTGGAAAGGATTCTAGAATTTCAGAAATCTGGAATTTGGAATGTCCAGATAAGAGGACATCCACGTGAATTATTGTTTCTTATATTGGCTGCTGTGTTCACTGATGACCTGAGTAGCTATCTTGGCCTTAACCCTTGCTGCCATTTATCATCATTTAGACTGGATTAAACTAGACTTCTTTAACTGGTGTCTTCCTGGCAGGTCAGGCTTCAGCTGTCATTCTCCCTAGCTAGTATACTCAGTGGCTGTGTTTGAGAGTAAGTCCTTATGAAACTATGGACATATCTACACAGATGCTTTGCTGTGCTCCCCATCCATCCCAAAGCTGGCAAGAAATCACAGTGTCCTAAATCTTGTTGCCCCACACAGTGCCCTTACTGCACATCCTGAACAGGTGTGTCCTGCACTGCTGTCCATACAGCTTTAACTTGCAGTGTTCTAAGGTCCATGAAATGCCAACCATCAGATGAAAAGTTTCCTCCAGTTGGCATGCACAATGCCCTGGTTACTCCATTTGCTTCATCTTTTTTTTTTCTTTTCCTTTGTACATCCATGGACTGAACTTTTTAAAAATGATTCTTTGAAACTGTGTTTTGACTAGCTGATGGTGCAAGTGTTCAGTCACTAAGTGGTATGAAAAGTTAAGAGTATTTCTGTGTCTCTTGGCTACCATCTAGTGGTCCTTTGGATGTGTGCAGATGCCAGTAAGTGCTGTGGAAGAGCTGGAGTGTGGAAGAACTGGAGTTTGGAAAAGGGGCAAGCTGTGGGGATTGGTGTGGGAACTGTAAACTACCCTAAGAAACTTATGTGAGGAGCAGCAGTCATTGAGAAAGGAATTCATGACCAGGCAGACTACAAAAGTACAAGCAACAAATTGTTTTAGATACACTTCCAATTAAGCCAGGGGAAAGCTAGTCACTTTCAGGGCGTTGCACCCTCAAGGGGACCAGTGACCAACCCATTAAAAAACAACAACAGTGACTGTGAAAGCTGGAGTTCTAATCTCCCTCATGGTCACAAGAGGACAGAGCAGTGAAAGAACAAGTCAGGGATCAAATGAAAGGGTGGAGCTCCACAGGAAACTGGCAGAACCCACCAAAGCCATACATTTGTTGACATGGAGCGCATCATTTCTGGCCACTTCCCCCAAGCACATCAGTGTACCCTTCATTGTCTATGTGTGGCATCTGGAGCGGGGAGAAGAGGGAAAACGTCACTTCCAGCATGGAACATGGGCATGTCCTTTGGAAACAACTGGTAGGCTAACCTCAAGGTGGGGCAAAGTGACTATGTAGGTTTGCCTAAATAGAGTTTAATTCTGAGTAGACATGTATAAGATTGTGATGTTATCTTAGTGACTGTAAATTGGCCTTCCAGATCTGTTGAACCTTTATCCCATCATTCCCAGTTAGCATGGCCAAGAGTTGTTCTCAATATGAGAGTAAGAAGTACATATCTGGAAGGCACCTGGTGAGGAAAGTTGCTGTAGACAAATCCCTCACTGAATATCTGTTCTTGACTTGCTTTAAGGAAATGCTAACGAATTAAATAGGTTTTAATAAATGAATTAAATTTATGAAATTTAAATTTATTAGTGGGTTTTGTATTTGGGGTCTGCTTTTTGTAAGCCACCCAGAGTGAGTCGGCGGCTATATAGATTTGTTTAATAAGTAAACAAACAAACAAACTTGGGACAGTCAATTTTTTCCTCTTCTGCTTCTTCCTTAAAAATCGTTTATTTTCTTGCTTTCTGAAAAATGTGCAAGTCTGCCAGCTGTCATAATGAAACATTCCTTTAATAAATAATTGCCCTATTAAAATTTATGAATGAAATAATTTTGAGAAAGAAAGACAACATATTTTATTTTTAGATGGTGCAGGCCATAGCAACAGCTTCCAAACACTGGTGTGTATTGACATGTGAGGGTAAGGGGAATTTTCTAATAAAATACCTTTCATAACAGTTTTCATAACTATTGTCGCAATTATTTTTTCTAAAATAAAGAAAAAGCGCCTGATTAACTGGAATGCCCTCTTATTTGATTGTCCATCCAAGTGGCAGCCTCTGGCCCAGTGTTTTTTTAGCTTTGCGAACTTTTT